TTTGATTATGCAGTCCTGTTAGTATATGCGTATGTCAGTTGTCTTTTTATAGCAAATTATATAAATTTCTCTTTGGTGTAAACTTGTCCTTTAATTTTTAATAAGCTGTGTTGCTCTATGTTGACTTTGAATGATATCCAATATTTTTCTCCCCAAAAAGAAAAAGTTCCTGTGGGGAATATCGCCAGGCAGATGCCCATGATCTCGTCCCTGATAGCACATCGGTACTTCCTCCAGCCCCCTGAAGAAAGCAAAAATGAGTCTGCTTTGAAACTGATCTTATTACGAGGTCAAAAGTATGAGTTTCTGCCCGCGTATTATCGCCACCTGGCACCTGGCAAGAGAACTACAGTTACTGAGAAGTTGTGCTCCCTTGGCAACACTTCTTGGGTGACCATGGAAGAGATCAGAGATCACTCCACCAATGATCTGATGGCTAGGTGTGTCATTCAAAGAGTCAATGTTGATGCCACCACACGCAGACCAGAGCCGCTTCCTGATTGGTTGAAGGAGAGGTATTCTTATCTTACATCATCGATGCCACGCCCACCAACAGTTCAATCCTTTGATGTGCCCCAAAACCCCGAGGTCTTCCGATATTCTGAAGTTGTGGCTCCGAGGGCCACTGACAGCTATCATCACACCAACCAATCATCCTATATCTGGTACGGCATGGACTGTGCAACTCTGGGAGCAAGAAGCAACGCATATTCTGTCATCAGAGGAGACATTGACAAGTATGACCTGAAGATGTTGGAGGTGTTATACCAGAAAGAATCACTAGAGGGCGACGTACTTGATGTTGAATCATGGGAAGACCAGAACAGTCCTGACACACTGAGGTTCCAGATTAAGAAGGGCGATGAGAACATCACACAATTAACGATGCAGTTTTACCTACCAACTGTTTAAGATGTTAACAAGGAAAATCGTAGATTTTGTACCTCCGGGTATTGTAATGTATGTTGCAGAATGTTGGGTGCATGTTGGGACTGTTCTTTGAATTAACTAGTGAATTCGCGCGAATACCATTTTTTTCGAAAAGTTTCGAAATGTTTGTAATTGGCTAAATGATGTGTGAAATCACTAATCCCCCCTAGCCGACTGGAGCCCAAAAATAGAAAGGACAGGAGGCATCCGGTGGCGAATCTGGCTGCCCGACCCTCAGCGACCAGCGATAATGTAAACAAACACAGTAACGGGTGTCCGAGACACGAAAAGGAAATACAAATAATCTTACGCCCCAAAACACATATACAATAAAACAAAAAAACCTGCACCATCTACAGCCCATTAACAGAAGATACACCGAGTCCCGAGAAGGTCTGAGACAGTATACCAAGCCGAAAACATCCGAAATTGCGCAAGAGGGCGTTGACCCCTGACCCATTGGCCCACCCGGAAGTTCGCTGGCTGCGACCCGCGCGATCCCACCAGGCACGAGACGTTGATTGACGGCACATGTGGTTCACATCTGAACAGTTTCAAAGAATGCTGACACCCCTCTGTGTGAAAGGTCAGATCAGTGGTCGCGACCTCAATGGTGATTATACATGCAAAGGTCAAAAGCTGAGGCCCGACCAACACTGAAAGGGGTGTCCATCGGCGGTCTAAACGCATCATTTTCACGCACTAAAACACACATACTAAAAAACCAAAACAACGTGCACCATCTACAGCCCAACAGCAAAACGTATACCAAGTCCCAGACATATCCGTCCACCCAAACGCGAGAAACGGGTGCGAACGCAATTTTCGTCTTCCCTCACAAAACCTCCGCGCTCGGGATATACATCCCTACCCGGAGGTAACAATACATGTAAGATGAACAAAGTTTTTTTGGGATGTGGTGTGGCTTTCTTAGAATTGTCATACTAAATAGGTAACCTACTCTGTTGTGTTAAATGCTTGAAAGGATCCCCATGCAAACCATATACTGTATGTGAAATACCTGACATATGATGACCGTCAGTCTGTCTAAGACTTCTCAATTACAATATGTATTAGAAGTTTTTTACCACAATGGCCTCTTTCAGGATTTTTAAAACATTTTAAACATTAAACATACTTATGAAGTATCACTTGTTATATTTTAAGCATCCAACTGCATAAGCCAGTTCCTTTATCATGTTTATGAAACTCTATATGGTATGGATATTGCAATACACATTACCATTCAACATTAGTATTACTACCCAACAGGAAACCCAGTTTGGACATGTCATGCTATAATTTTCCCCAAGATGAACATCAGTCACATCAGCAATATACATGTATGTATATGAGACACCTGGCGATATCTTACAGTATTCCATTCTTATTTCAGTAAGCGAGAATCCCCATTGTTATACAAGTTCAGGTTGCAAATAGTTTGTCACCTTAGCCACTATCACAGAGCTTTCACAGATAAAATGACGTGCCCATGCAGTATTTCTTGGCCATGGTTATTTTCCATACATGCATTCTAGCCATATACATATGGCTCAATGGATTAATATTTTTGTGTGTGAAAACGTCCGTGCATTGATGAGATGTTACACACGTGCACGTTAGATATCATAGGGAAGAGATATTAGTCTGCACGACAAATCCGCGACAGACTAACGAAGCTCTTCAATCTGCTGTCGTAAACTTGTCGTACGACATAATTGTGACGGGGTTCTACGTCAGTTGTCAGCTCCGTGGATGTCGTCCTGCATCCAGGGTTCTATGAAGATGCTGCAGGTTCCCACCAGGCACGCCGAGACGAACATCCACAGGAAGATCCGGTCTATGATCATCGCCACATACTTCCAGTCCTCTTCCAGCTATGGGAAGAGGATAGACAAAGATTTAAATAACATAGCTTCCACCAGGCCTTCTTATGGGGGTTAAAGATTGCAGAATTCGGCAAAATAGAGTCAATGAGGCTCGGGGAGTGATTCCGCCGTTAGTTTTACATTTGAACTCCTCTAGTGGTCAAAACTACCAGATTGTTAACCCTATTTGGCAAGATTTACTATTCTTCAGCCAGCGTAGTTGGTCTGGTAAAGACTAGAAGCAATATCCATCGCGTAATATTTGTTACACTACGTTTCCATGCAA